AGTGTACAGTAGTACTCTGCATACACTGAAAAGTGTCGTACACGTCTCACGACGAAAAAAGGGGGGACTGTCGCCATACAAAGTTGGTCGCCACCAATAGACACACCTGGCAAGGCCGTGCAAAAATGGTCATGTACGACGCGGTTGTCGTTACCTTGAAGCCTCTCACCCAAAACACACACACGAACGTTCTTGCCGATACAAGGAAGACGAGAACATGGCAACAGGTAACAACCACTGAAAATGAAGCATGGCAGCCGCAAGGATGTTCGTTCCATTGTGTGAGAAAACCTAGCAGGACCCGATGATGTTAATAAGTCGTTCCATAGATCGATTGAGAACGCCAAACAACTGCGAGAATCAAACGTGGCATCACACGAACAACTGAAATCCCACCGAGAAAACCAGGTAATAACCCGCGTCAGAACATGCACGGGACGCCATTCGTGAACCTCCCCACCCCACCGTGTCAGAGCGGGTTCGACTGACCTGGGCTACTAATAGACGATCATTCATCACGAAGTATGGTGCTGGCCACCCAGGCATTTCCCCGCATAGTTCTGCGCGCTTCAAGTGTCTCTCCTTTCAACGAGTCAAAGATGCCTCTCTGTAATTGAACCCTCTTTAGCGACCTTGGCCACGTGCAATCACATACAAAACCGTCACCCGTAGACATCCCATGTAAAACCGTCACCCGTAGACATCCCGTCAAACCTCCCTTTGACAATAGCTAAAGGCCAACGTACGCCTGACAGTGGTTGTTTGAAGAGCGCGCCAAACGACAACTCCTTCAGGGTGGTAGGAGCCCAACATGACTCGAGAGTGATCGAATGATCGCCCGAATGCAAGCGACTCCAATCCAGGCGGCCACTGCAAGGTGTCAACCTTCGTGTTGAACGTACCCCCAAGCACCAACTTCTTTAGGCTTGTAGGCCAAGTGGTGTCGCTTACACGCCTCCCGCAGCCTGACCCAATCTCAAATACTTGTAGCGTGGACGGCCACTTAGCGTCTTCTACCGAATCCATGTTGTTGAAATCGTCCGGGAGCACAACTCTACGCAAGTTCCCGGGCCAATGAACGGCATCAACCTTCTGGTTGAATTTTGAGGCGAACGACACCTCCTGCAGTCCCTTAGGCAACTGAATGCCGCCTATTGGGCTGTTGAAGGTCCCCTCCAACCGTAGAACCTTGAGCGTGGCAGGGAGTACCACAGGAGGCCTCAGATCCCCGTTCCACGCACACCCGAAGGTGACATATACTGCATCGAATCAGGCCAGATAAAACGTATCGCAGGTTCTGTTCGAATGTATCATCGGTCGTCAGAGCGATCAATACTCCGGCCAATGATAGCCGGTCAACCGCTGGTTAAAGCACAGTCCAAACGCCAAACGTTGCAAGCTACTGGGCCACCGGACTAATGCGATTGGCTGGTTGAAGCGTCCTCCTAAACAAAATGACCAATCAGAAAACTGCGGGCACCTTTTAGCACAGTCCAAACGCCAAACGTTGCAAGCTACTGGGTCACCGGACTAATGCCATTGGCTGGTTGAAGCGTCCTCATAAAAAAAATGACCGATCAGAAAACTGCGGGCACTTTTTCTCTCTCTCTCTAGGTTCTGTTCGAATGTATCACCGGTCGTCAGAGCGATCAATGCCTCTGGCCAATGATAGCCGGTCAACCGCTGGTTAAAGCACAGTCCAAACGCCAAACGTTGCAAGCTACTGGGCCACCGGACTAATGCGATTGGCTGGTTGAAGCGTCCTCCTAAAACAAATGACCAATCAGAAAACTGCGGGCACCTTTTTCTCTCTCCTTTTCTCTCTCTCTCTAACGACACCTCCTGCAGTCCCTTAGGCAACTGAATGTCGCCTATTGGGCTGTTGAAGGTCCCCCCCAACCGTAGAACCTTGAGCGTGGCAGGGAGTACCACAGGAGGCCTCAGATCCCCGTTCCACGCACACCCGAAGGTGACATATACTGCATCGAATCAGGCCAGATAAAACGTATCGCAGGTTCTGTTCGAATGTATCACCGGTCGTCAGAGCGATCAATGCCTCCGGCCAATGATAGCCGGTCAACCGCTGGTTAAAGCACAGTCCAAACGCCAAACGTTGCAAGCTACTGGGCCACCGGACTAATGCGATTGGCTGGTTGAAGCGTCCTCCTAAACAAAATGACCAATCAGAAACTGCGGGCACCTTTTCTCTCTCTCCCAACCGTAGAACCTTGAGCGTGGCAGGGAGTACCACAGGAGGCCTCAGATCCCCGTTCCACCCACACCCGAAGGTGACATATACTGCATCGAATCAGGCCAGATAAAACGTATCGCAGGTTCTGTTCGAATGCATCACCGGTCGTCAGAGCGATCAATGCCTCCGGCCAATGATAGCCGGTCAACCGCTGGTTAAAGCACAGTCCAAACGCCAAACGTTGCAAGCTACTGGGCAACCGTAGGCTAGCAAGCATGTACCTTGAGTGGCTTGATACCGTTCCCCGGCCGAAACTTCCGTTTTCAGAGGAACGAGCACGAGAAGAAGGGGACGGGGCGCCGGTGTCCCCGCTGGGATACTCCCTCCTGCGCATGACGGACGAGGAGGTGGAGGTGGCTGCCGCGGCGCTCAAACCGCAACAGGCACGAACAACGCATAGCGCAAGTTTTAATCGCGTCGGCTGAGAAGAGAAGATAGCGGAATCCAGAGTAAAGCAGTTCTACAAGTCTGAAATCATGTTTAGCCGTCTGGCAGACGTGACAGCCGCCGCACGAATAGATGACAGAGATGTGACAGCCGCCGTCACGAATAGAAGGCAAGTGTGTGGCAGCTTCGAGGGAAAAGGCGCGCGCATATTGCGTAGCAACCTGGTTGTCTCGTCCACCTATCCCCTGGAGGGGCTGCAGGGAGGTGCAACGGGCAATGACAAACACGATGCTCACACTCGTACACGCCGATGACGGATCAAAGTAGCGATTTTATACTCCCGGCGTGTTTTCCGCTTCGAGAGACAGACGCGCGCACCGTCGCATGCAGCCTCTTTGTTCTATTCACTTTGGGGCTGTGCAGTTTGTAGTGGTTGTCAGGCAACAACCGGGTGCCGGACCGCCTTTGCGCGATTAATGACGTTATGACGAAATAGAACAGGGAGGGGGGACACAGACCGTATTCCCCAACCCTAGCCCTGACCTAACTTCCCCGATTATATGCTTTCTCCAACTTGTTTACATGTCTACGAAAAACCCTACGACGGCTACTGCGCCCCCCCCCCCCCCCACTCGGTGTTTGCCCTCCGGATTGGGTTTTCCTCCCTTGGCAACGACCTTTTAAAAAAAGCCAATTCACTTTTGTGAAATCGGCAACCAGGTTACCGGTTTTTTTTTACCTCGGGTTTTTTTTTTTAGCGGTAACCCTAATGGTGGTCGAGTAGATCATGTTGTGGGGGGTCGAAAAACCTCACTCCGCGCAACGGGGGATGATCGCACCACGTTGAGTTAAAATGGTCAAGCTTCCTCGAGGCAGTTACACAGTGCTTACAACTGTTTCTGGAAGTGAAAGCCCCAGAAAATAAATTAAGTCATACGTAGCTGTCATCCGTACGCCAAGGAAGTAAGCACAAGATGCCGAACAACCTTAGCAGGATGCAGCTCACCCTTCATGCGACTCGCCAAATACCTCACGGCGCTTCGCGCTTGGTGATGTGAGAGCCTGGTCCGGTGAGAACCTGGCGTGCTCCGTCCCGGCTTTGTAGGGATGCGAGGTCAATGGTCAAACGACTACGGCATGCACGACTATGAGTACACCCCCCCCCCCCGCCTACCGCCTCGACAGTTTGGTGAAATGTAATTTTATTCGGCGGCACCGCAACCCGAACGCCCACCTCCCCCCTGGGCTATGAGTTTCTACTTGCTTTCCCTCCAAATGGACGAAGACGGTAGGGGTATCCGGGACCCTTGTCCTTACCCAGTGCCCCCCCCCCCCCCTATCCCTACCGCTGCTTTTTGGTCCATGTGGAACTCCCACGTTTAGGTCCCCGTTCTGCTCGAGGGAGGTACAAAAGCCCCCCGGTCCCCCGCACCAGGGGACCGCGCCCCCCCCAGCGACAATTAAGGCGCAAAAAAAACAAAACAAGAAATTTTCCAGCCCGGGGTGTTTCCGTGCCCCTTTGGGGGCTTTCCCTTTTTCCTGTTCGAAGATGAACTTCTGCCCCCCGCCAACGCGATTGAAGGGGGAAAAAAGG